ATATATATATATATATATATATATATATATACTCGTATTGCAATGAACCCAGATCAGATTCATGATTGTAAAAAAACAACCCAGTTGAAAATTTTATTCCCTCTCTTTCGTTGTATATATATCCTGATGAGTCGGTGAAACTCCGACGAAACAGTTTGTCACAACCCCTCGTTTGTTGTCCTCTTCTTTCTTTCTGCCTACGGTTTACCGGGTAGTTCTGTTTGTGACGATATATATGTATATGTTTGTGACGATATATATATATATATATATATATGTGGTAACCGACGTTCGGGACGGGCCGAACGCCCGAACGTTTGGGACCCCCTCTCGACGCGTTCGGACGTTCAGCCGAACGCGGAACCAAAAAAAAAAAAACGTTTCAAAAGAATTTGCAAAAAAAAAAATGTCATGCAAAAGAATAAACTAAATAACATTTGCCTCAACAGTACATCCAAATTCCTTACCAAATTTGAACTAAAAATGTAATACGAAAAATAAATAATATTATTGAAAATAAGAAGAAATAAAACGAGAATTAAATTTTGCGGGGTCCGAACCCCTTCGAGCTTGGGCCCCGTACGGGGACCCGAACGCATAAACGTCCGGGAGTCAGCTTAGGGGCCTCCGTATGTTAGTCCTGGCAACTATATATATATGTATATTCAACCTCCTGATGAGTTGGTGAAACTCCGACGAAACAGTTTGTCACAGCCCCTCGTTTGTTGTCCTCTTCTCTCTCTCTGCCTACGGTTTACCGGGCAGTTCTGTTTGTGACGATATATATATACATATGACAAATAACTATTTTTTTTTGCATTTGCAAATATATATATTTATATATTTTTGTCGAAAGAAAGATGAAAAAACATTCAACCGGTTTTTTTTTGGACAATCATGAATTTGTTTGTGACAACGTTCGGGACGGGCCGAACACCCGAACCCGAACGCCCGAACGTTTGGGACCCCCTTTGACGCGTTCGGACGTTCGCTCGAACGTGGAACCAAAACAAAAAAATAAAAAATATTAAAAAAATATATATATAAAAACACGGAAAACAAAAAAAGTTTCCAAAATAACATTTGCGATTTTGCATTATTGTTTGGCTCCACAAAATAATAAAGTAAATAACATTCGCAATTTTGCATCATTGTTTGGCTCCACAGAACGACTTCAAAATTGAGAGTCACGTAGCTTACATAACAAAAAACTCACAAATAAAGAAAAAAGAAAACAATAATGATTTTTAGGTACCAGAATAATTTTTTCCACCCGTTTATGCCCCTTCGAGTTCGGCCCCTGTACGGTTACCCGAATGCCGGAACGTTCGGGGGTCAGCTTAGGGGCCTCCGTACGTTCGTCCTGCCAACTCTGTATATATATATATATATATATAAACAGTTCGTGACAGCCCCACGTTTGTTGTCCTCTTCTCTCTCTGCCTACGGTTTACCGGGCAGTTCTGTTAGTGACGATATATATACTTATATAATGTGTATATATATATAATGTGTTGGGACGCATGTCGTGATCCGTGATACTGTGCTTTCGCGTGTGCAGGTGCGTCTGGCCTTCCGCACCCATAGAGCAGGGGTATCAACATGGACCGCCAACAACCTCCTGCAGCTCTGCCGTCGTCGCCGAAATCCCCGTTGCTTCCTACTCCTCTTTCTTCATCTCCATTCGCCTCACGCGCTCTCTCTTTTTTACAAGACTCTCCGGTATACCATGATATTTAACGCGGTCGAGGGAGAGACCTGCAACCAGGCAGCGTTTGGATGACAGAATGGCGGTTCTGTCGTTCCCTCTGATGAATTCGACAAATGTCACACAAACTCCTCTCCTGAGTCGCATGCGCGCAACCATTGCTGCAATCCCGGCTCTCCCCACTTTCGTTGGCGATCCCGCAACGTCGCCGTTTGCGCAATCCGCTGTGGTTTTTTCTCGTCCTCCATTTTTTGCGCCCATGGGCTCTCTCGCAGCGATGTTGCCGACGCCTTGGTCCGCAAGTCAGACCATGTGCGGTGTTTAACAAAGTCGTTCAGACGCCACGCATCCATTTGGTTTGCCACGGTCGTTCCCGTCTTCGGGCCATGAGAACTCCGGAGCGGTGCCCGTTGCGGGTGTCTTTGCGTCGGAACTCGTTCGTCGAACAGAAGACAAACATTCGCCGATCGAAGCAGTGCAGCTGACATCATGCACTCCGGTTTCCACCAACCGTGTACGTGATTTTCTTTCCCCGTCTAATGATAGCGAGGCTGGGATGAGTTTCTCGCCTCGGTCGCCCCATACGAGGTCCAGTACACCTCGTGAAGGCAAGCCCCACTGGGTGCGGTGCAGACTTGCTCAACAAAATCGCCTGGGTGAGATTGCGAAGGTGATGGGGAAGAAGTTGTCGACGCGCACTCGAGGCTCTAAAGATAAGAAGAAAAATCATTGTTCGTACGAGGACGTGTTCGATCAGCTCATGGAGTGGATTTCCGTTCACATTGATGAACTGATGTCAAAGTACGGCCCCGGCGAACAATCGTCTGGCCATGGGGGTTCATGCGGACAAGGATCAGATGCAATGGCGACACCGAAGTCGCAAGGTGGCAGACCTCGCAGTGACACTTTGAAATGGCTCGACGACAAGCCGGGATATTCGGATAATGGTCCGATGTTTGAAAGCTCGACCGTGAGGGACCAAATGGCCATGTGGGATGCTAAGGCAAGACCTGATGTCGTTTTCATTGAGCCAGTCAAACTTCTACAGATTCTCGGGATGTTCGAGCAAACGTGTCCTCGGCACGGGAAAGACGTTGAGGTGACGATCAAGAAGATCCATTATCCATGTCACATTTGCAAGTTGCAATTCGAGTGAGGGAAAGGGTGCACTTGGCACTGGAGTTCTGCGAAGGTTGTTTCACCGGGCGGGGTGAGAAATTTGAGGGTTGAGACTCAATTGTTCCACTCCACTTTGACTGCGGGAATGACTTACACTCAATGGAATAACCTCCTGCGGGGCTTAGGAATGAGGAAGGTTAGGAAATAAACTTTCTATAATTTTTTCCGTGATGACGGCCCAAGTTCCCAACAGTGGCTGCGACACGTCGAGCGGGTTACTCAAAAGAGCTTCGACAAGGTCATTGCGCGATTGCGTAGGTCGAACGATCCGGTCGTCGTTTTGGTTAACGAGCGTTACGATTCGTCTCGTGACGCTCAGCATTGTACGGTGACGGCGGTGGATTTGAAGTCAGGAATGATCGTGGGGACGAAGACCATGCTTCGGGGGAACGAGTCGTCATGGAAGCTGGAGACACAATGTGTGGAGAAACTGCTTCATCGGTTGAAGGACGAGAAGAACCTCATAATCGCAGAGGTTGTGCATGATGATTGTGGCGCGGTTGACGTCATATTGCGGCGAATGAACATTGACTCACAAAAGTGTATGTGGCACAAGGCGAAGACTTTGGTCAAACGCTTGCGAGAGGCTATGCGCGACACGAAGACTGTCAAGCCAACTGCAGTCGGGGCTTGCGAGCATGTGCGCGAGGTGAAGTGTTTCACAAAGAAGGAGCTCGAACTTTGGCTCGAATCGAAATGTGTACACGTGATAGGGGTGTCCACGAGAAAAAAAAATGAACTCGTTGAGATTGTTTGGGATGTGCTCTTCCCCGACGAAGCAGGGAAAGCGTTGCCAGATGATGTCGTCGAGATCGACGCGTTGCAAACACTGCATTGCAATGCGGCGGAGGAGGCGAAGGAGTAGTTGTACGACGCTTGCAGGCTGCGTGAGCGCACAAAGGATGACGATGGCGATGTGTTGGCCACTCATGTGCAACACCTCGTCGATCATTGGGCCGGGGATCATTCCCGTTGCGATAAGGAGTTGTCCAACCTGTGCAAGGCGGTCGGGGATTCGGACAGAGAGCCATTGTACAAGGCGGGGGGACGAGTTCCTTTCGCCATCGCGCGTTGCCTTGAACAGTTCGCTTCGAATACGAAGATGACCTACTACACACGTGCGAGGATGACCTTCAACAACGAGTGTTTCCACTCCGTGATCAACAAGTACGCAACGGAACGCCTGAACTTTCCCAAGTCGTATGAGGCGCGCATGTGTTGCACCACTTCGGAGTGGAACAAAAACAAACAAATCAGGCGATTGCGCACAGTCTTCCGCAAACCGGCAAACGTAACCCATCGACGTCGTTCCTCACGACAACATATATACGCCGCACGGGATACGTCGTGGCACTTCGACATTGCAACTGAAGTTTTCGGCAGCCCTCGGGTCGGAGATTGGGCACGTAACATGTTGCAGCAATCGGACGTCGACGACCCAGTTATTGAGCATTATGATGAGGAAGCCGATTATGTACTCCCTGATGCGGTTGAGAGTGCGGTGGAGGGTGTTGTGGCCGAAGGTGATAATGTTTTCGTTGAGGCGGGAAGCGAAAGTGCTTCAGATGACGAAAAGTCGTCTTCCGACTCCGACAACGATGGTGCCGCTCACCGCCTTAACTTTGACGGCGCCGTCCTTTCGCAGGAGGTGTCCGTTGCGCAGGAGTGATAGTGTCACGTACTACATCGATGCCCATTGTCGTCGTCGTAATCATAAGAATGTTATGTCCTCGATTTGAACTGGTTTCGATAACTAGTTGTTCGAACTGGTTGTTCGAACAGGTTGTAATTTTGAACCGGTTGTGATAACTGGTTGTTCGAACTGGTTGTGAGAACTGTTTGTAATTTTGAACTGGTTGTAATTTTTAACTTTGTGAGAAATGGTTGGAATTTTTGAACTGGTTGTGAGAGCTTCTTCTCATGTTTACTAATTGTATATATGTTTTGTGTACACTTTGTGATAACCGGTTGTGAATATATATATATATATATATATATATAGAGAGAGAGAGAGAGAGAGAGAGAGGTCTACATACGTAGATATGTGCCCCTGTGGCAAAATTGATACATGCAAAACAATACGAACATCTTTCCCTTCATCTTCATCCGTCTCTCTCTCTCTCTCTCTCTCTCTCTCTCTCTCTCTCTCTCTCTCTCTTATGTTACTGGAGTCTCGACAAACTGATCCATCCTGTCGTCCAATCCCACGTATGTCTATGTAGTCTGGACCAACGAGACTGCAATGAATCTGCACTGCATTCAGCCATGCATCGCCCCTCTGCAAGCAACTCGGCGCCCGCGGTTCATAGACTTCTCGTCGTCGTCGGGTGCACGAGCCCGCGCGCGCCGGTCCATTTCAGAGTTGTGGTGCGGATAATCTGCAAGCATTGCTGCGCAAATCAACGTCGAATCCCACACGATGGAATGAACTCGGCCGATAAATCCTCGTCATTGCAAACAAAATATGGCGCACTTACAACAAGCCGCCACACACTGTCCCGATAAACAGCGCCGTAGTTTGTTTCCAATATACGAAACACAAGTGGGTAGACAATATCATACTTTTTATCTCCTTCGACAGGATTGAAAACGAGGCTATTGAAGTACGTAGTGGGCCTGGACATGAGCACCCGAATGTGGTCGATGGCATGATGATGAATGTAAGTCTTTGTTGTTAGTCTTATGACTCGTTCGTCTTCGACGGCGACAACAAAATGCCGATCCTCCATTTTGTGCCTGTCTTTGTACTCCAACACCTGTTTGACAGGCTCTATAACCGAGTTTTGCGACTCGTAATAATAAACGTTCTCGCCCGTACGGAGTTTCGTGGAATGGTAGCATTGGAAAATCATTGGCGCCAACCGCATAGTCGTTTCTTGCGAATGGGGAGTCGAAGAAGTTGCCGAACACACAAAGTTTCACCGTAAGCAACAGAGCAACGGATTTGCATAATACAAAGGTGAGGAACACAAGGTGTGTCTTCTTCTTCAATCAACTCATCTTCTTCTTCTTTTTCTTCATCTTTTTCTTCTTCTTTTTTGTATTCTTCTTCTTTTTCTTCTACTTTTTTTTCTTCTTCTTGTTGTTGTTCTTCTTCTTTTTCTTTTTCTTCTCGCGTCTCGTGATTTTTTTTTTTTTTTTATTTTTTTTTATTTTTTTTTTTTTGTCTGTGTGTGGGTCGACAAAAAATGTCGCTTTCGTTTCCGCTGAATAGTCTATACATATTTGTTGCACACACAACTGGCAGACGACGTACAATAATAACAACAACAACCATTTCGTCAAAACGGACATATTATATTTTTTGAACGAAATCAAAATTGATTTTTTTTGCCAAAATCCGGTCGGAATTTTTTGCTCCTGCCAAAACGCCGGACCCCTACATGTATCTGGTCTATGGTTAAGACCAGATTAAAAAAAAAAAAAAAAAAAAAAAAGTGTATCTAGTCTCAACCATAGACCAGATACATGTAGGGGGTCCGGCGTTTTGGGAACGCCGGACCCCCCAGGAGCAAAAAATTCCGACCAGATTTTGACAAAAAAAGTCAGTTTTGATTTCGTTCAAAAAATATAATATGTCCGTTTTGACGAAATGGCTGTTGAACAATATAAATTACAAATTTGTATGTCACATCATATGTCACATCATATGCATGTCAGAGAGAGAGAGAGAGAGAGAGAGAGAGAGAGAGACCCCAACAGAGAGACACAGAGAGGTCGATAACATAATGCTAGAGATGATTCACGAAGAACAGTAATGTTGTTCACCACATATCAAGTCCCGTGTTGGGCTCTCTCTCTCTCTCTCTTTCTCTCTCTCTCTCTCTCCTCCTCCTCAAGTCTCAAGTTTCTGACTCCAGAGAAGGCGGCCGGCATCAGCACACACGCTCTATTTTGACTAAGGTTAGGATAACGGACCTGATATGTGTTGAACAACATGATTCGCAGTCATGCTGTTGAGCACATATCAAGTCCGTTATCATAACCTTAGTCAAAATGGAGCAACGCCTCTCTCTCTTTCTCTCTCTCTCTCTCTCTCTCTCTAGCATTTAGCCAGGGTGAGGGTTATCATTATCGGTCGGAGCGCATGGATCAGGAATAAAGCCGACGAAACCATCGTTCTACGGGTTAGGCCACCTCATACGCATCGCCTCCTCGAATTCCGCCGGCAATCTCTGACGGCGAGTGTAACCGCAGAGGTTCGCGAACTCCCTGTACCCTGCGAATCTGTTAGCCGCCGCGTCCAGTCGATCGTTTCCCACGAGGATATGCAAAAACTGCTCATTGCGGTCCTCCTCACCGACAATCTGTACTGCGGTCTCAACCAAAAACGCAGGATGCGGCCATGCTGCTCGTATTTCATCCCTGTTCATTTGCGGGGGAGGAGGTCGTGGGCAACGTGCCGCGACGACTGCTGGCCCAACCCCGGGGCCCCCTCGACCGCGCACAACTCTACGTCTTGGTCGACGGCCGTACACCATGTCCCCATCATCTTCATTGATGGGTGCTTGAGGTTGTGCCTGCTCCATTATAATGTCGCGTCGTATCCCCGCAAGGACGACACAATTGTTTGCACCCGGGAATACGATGTCGACAGCACAGCACGTGCGTTGTTGAGGTCGTTTGTCACCGTCTCTATATGTTTTCTATCTCGTCGAGGTCATATTTGTCTTCATTGCCTGCTGCATCTGACTGGTCGAGGCCGTCCGTTATGCATGGTGGCAGACGGCGCATACGCTCACGGAGCGAAACCTTTTTTCGGTCATCATAAGGATTCATGACCTAGCCACAGACTGAGCGACGTGATATCTGGAAACACAAAACAAAAAACAAGAGTCGTGAACACATTACACATTATGGGTCGAGGATGACGTCGCGCACCGTTTATGCACGGTATATATATATAACGTCACCAGCAAATACGTACGGCGGTCCCCGAGCAGACCTACGTACGTACGGGCATTCGGGGTCCCGTACGGGGTCCGAACCCGACGGCGTTCGGGCCCCGCAAAAAAATATTTCGGGGACTAAAATAATTATTTTTTTTCGATTAGTTTTTTTGCTAGTTCTCTATGACGTGAGGTACATGCCTGTAAAATTTCAGGTCATTGGGCGAAGCCAAATAAGAATTAAAAATCGCCAAAGATGGCGGTGTCAAAACGTGCTCGCCTACATATTTTTCTTTTGGGTCCGCGTTCGGCCCGAACGGCCGAACGCATCCCCAAGGGGTCCCATATGTTCGGGCGTTCGGGTTCGGGTGTTTGGCCCATCCCGAACGCAGACATATAATATAAATCTTCGACTCGCAATAAATGTATATGTATGTATGACTCGCGATAATATATAAATATGTGGGTGAGTGATAGTCTACTTTGATTTTGGTTAAGGTAGATTATCATTTACAGTGTAATCAGTGAGGGGATTCTGCAGACTGTTGAGGG